GCAGAGGACTGGCTTAGCTAATAGAAGCCAGATAATTGTTATAGACAGGCAGAGAGTGTTCTCTGATTTGCAGGCAACAGTTATTCTAATTGATTTCTGCATACTTGTGGATAGGGATCTGCCCTGTCCCATTTATTTTTCTCTTGACAAGTAAAATGTGAAATGTTGCTCCATGCTTTTCTAATTTAAATGTTGCACATGTTGAGAACTGATCTTGCCAGCCATTTTAAGCCTGGCCAAAAACATAACACATTGTTGTTATTAGCCTTCATCATTTGGGTAGAGCCAACATTTTGTTTGGAACTATACAGGAGTATAAATCTCTTTTATAGACCTAAACTATTTCTGCCATAGAGTAGATACAGTGAAAAGGCAGCTAAGTTTCCTTGGTGAGTTACTTTGGTTGGGTTGGCCTCATAAGGCTGATTAGGCCTGGGATGCTCATATTGAGATACTTCATGGGAAGGTGGGATTCATGCCTTTGAGGATCTTGTGTTTCAGCTGAGGAGAAAGATGCATGGCTAAGGCAGTATGTGAAAAGTATGTACAAAGATCAGAGGGAGCTTGGAGGAGAAACAGAGCGTTACCTCAAGGCCACATTTAGGGCTGCACACAATGTCCTTGATGCCCCATGCACCTCATTCATCCGGCAGGCTGAGTTAAACCACTGTGCTCACACACGTGGACTATTATTTTCCAAATATATGCAGATGTCAGAGAGCCAATAATGCTTTTATTTTTATTTATTTATTTATTTTTAAAGCAGATGATCTTTTCTTTTCTTTTCTTTTCTTTTTAAACATTTATTTTATTTATACAAGAACCGGGGTAAAGGCCAGATGTGCAGGAGGGTAAGAGGATTCACCAGAGACAGATCGGAGAACAGAACAGGCAGACTGACTGAAATACACTGCTGAGGGGAGTGGCGGGTGAGACGGGAAAGGTCTGCTGCGCCATGTGGGTTGCTCCGTGGCAGGCGGGGATCAAACCAGTGCTGCAGAGGCTGCGGACAGGTTCACAGTGCTGCACTCGACCACCTGCGCCACCAGGGAGGCCCCAATAATGCTTTTAAATGAATTCTCATTTTACAGTAATTATGGCCTTTTGTTGTATTGTATATTTTCAAACAATTGATACTGCATTTACATTATAATTCCTATTATAGGCAACTGTGAAAATTTCCCATTAAATGTTGTTTTAGTTATGTAAAGTTTGAAACTTCCATTGTCTACAGTAGTGCTGTTAACTTTCTGTGATGTGGGGGGTATTCTCTGCATAGTCCAGTAGGTTGGTCATTAACCACATGCAGCACTGGAGAACTTGAAGTTTGACTAGTGTGACTGAGGAACTGGATTTTTAATTTAATTTATATTTAATTGATTTAAATTTAAATAGCCACATATGATAGAGGCTACCATATTAGACAGTGTGGGTTTATATTATCCCTTTGTAGTAATTTTCTAAAAATCCCCACAATCCCAATACACACACACACACATACGCATACACACACACACATTTCCTTTGCCTTACCCCTTGCTAAATTATTTTTACTTCTACCCCCAAATATGCACGACTACCAAGCCCATTTCTACTCAGGTGCCCCTTATTTCTGCAGTTTCCTTAGCCAGAGAAGAACTGTCTCATAGACACCTAATAAAATCATTTAAAAGTCTTTCCCATTCAGAGAAATAAAAGCTGTGGTAGTTTACTCTTTTCTTTCAGTCATCATTTGATTGTCAGCAGCCCTGGAGAGATTTCTGAATAGCTGGGACATATGAGCTAGTACCTTTCCTATTCAGTTTGTTTCAACATTTACAGAGATATAAACAATTATTAGAAATTCAGAAATCAAAATCTTATTCTAGGATTTCCATTAGAGCAAGGAATTTTCCATCCTTGTTTACCTGATAATTTTAAGAGTAAGCAAATGGTCTTCCTTCTTTAACTTATTCTGAACCAGTTCACAGTGCTTTACAAGTTATATATCTTTCTCATGAGTCATAACCTTGGGATCTTCCAAGATCATCATATGCAGTAACAATATACATTGTAATGGCTTCTTTTAAGTAACAAAATCACAAGAGGATAGCCAGAATGGTTGAGCATAAAATCCATCTTTTTTACTTATATTATGGTTGATAATTGTAAAGATAGTGGTAGTTGGATTCAAAATTGTTATTTTTCCCACAAGATTTTTGTTCTGCACTGTTTTACAACAAAACGGGGAAGGAAAGCATTGACTTATAGCATTCAAAAAAGGCACAGGACCAAAAAGTTCTTTTGGAACTCTTGTTTGAAGAATTCCCGTCAAAATAATAAAATACCTTTCATGTGCTGGCCTGGGAAGAAGTCTTTCTGTAGAGGTTGTTCCATCAAGGTGGGCCGATTCTCCCACTACCCCCCAGCCCCTAGGTGTGAAAGTCATGTCAAGATTCTCCAGCTACTCTCAGGCTGACTCCCTCATTTCCTAACTCTTCCTGCCTTAAGACCAAGGATTGGAGATTTTTTAAAATGAGACCGAGAGTGGGGGAAGTTTGAGTTGTGTTACCCAGATCCTGAATGAGTCTACAGAGCCCCTGTTGGGCAGTATATCCTGACACCAATTGTGATAACAGGAGAGGAAGCTTAAAGACAGTTGCACTCATATGCCAAAGTGAATAAAAACCACAGATGGGTGACAATGAAACATATGTGTGAGTGTGTGCGTGTGTATGTATAGAGAGAGAGAGTGAGAGAGAGAAACATCTAATATCAGGACTCTCCCACTCCTTACCATCTTGCACACATTTCCATTGATTGGTATATTCACAGACAATAGTTTCTGACATTAAAATTGGTGAACATCTCGGGCCTCCCCTGGTGGCGCAGCAGTTGAGCGCTGGGCTGCGAATCGGCCCGCAGCCTCTGCAGCACTGGTTTGATCCCCAGCTACGGGCGAGGGTCCACATGGCGCGACCGACCTCTCCTGCCACGCCCACTGCTCCCCTCAGCAGTGTATTTCATCAGTCTGCCTGTTCTGTTCCCCCTCTGGCTCTGGTGAATTCTCTCATCCTCTTGCGCTTCTGACTGTACCCAGTGCTTGAATAAACAAACAAACAAACAAACAAATAACTAAATACATCTTTAAAAGAAATTGGTGAACATCTCATAACACTTCCTTTTGCTCTGTTGGTCTCACTTTAATTAAACACATCCTTCCATCATCTGCTAATGCTCCATTGAATTTTTTTTAACTGATTTCATTAGAAATTTTAAAATTATGTTTCTTGAAGTAATGTTCAATTACAACACTATATGTTTTAGAGGTATAGGTCCACAACTCTACAAATGTATCTATACCATCCGTGCCCACCACCAAAGTCCCATAATCCTCCACCATAGTCCATTGGGTCCCCTCCTCCTCTTTGCTCCCATCTCCCTACCTTCTCCTGGTAGCCTCAGGTTTATAGTCAGATATCATGGGTTTGCTTGGGTCTGTTCCTTTGCCTTGTTTCTTTATATTCCACACATGAGAAAATGAATGTGGTATTGTCATTCTCCTCCTGCCTTACTTCATTTAGCATAATCCTCTCCAGTTCCATCCATGTTGTCACAGTGGCAAGGTTTCACGTTTTTTATACCATAAAAGTATTTCTCTCTCTCTCTCTCTCTCTCTCTCTCTCTCTCTCTCTCTCTCTCTCTCTCTTTTTTTCTGTGTGTGTGTGTTTGTGTGTGTGTGATATGCTCTTTTTTCACTCTTTTGTCATTGGGCACTTAAGTTGTTTCCATACTATGGCATCGTAAATAGAGCTACAATGAATGTAGGAGTGCACATATACCTTCAAATCAGTGCTCAAACACTAAGCGAGGGATTGCTGGGTCATACAGTAAATATATTTTTCATGTTTTGAGAAATCTCCATACTGTTTTTCATAGATGCTAGACCAATATGATAGTGTAGAGTAGGGTTCCTTTTTCTCCATGTTCTTGCCAACATTCTTATTTCTGATCTTTTTGTTATGGGCTATTCTCACAGGTGTGAGGCAGTATCTCATGGTTTTGATTTGCATTTCCCTGAAGATAAGTAACATTGAACATTTTTCATGTGCCTGTTGATCTATATCGTTTTAGGCCTTCTCCTGTCCATTTTTGATTGGATTAATCATCTCCTTGTATGATTTCTCCATTGTAAAGGAGATGCATAGGTTGTTGTGATGGTAGTGGTGGTTGTTGATGTATATGTATGTGTGTTGGAGACAAATCAAGGAGGGTAGATAATGAGGAGTGGAGCCTAGGAACAATGCCAGGCAGCAAAGAGAGGATAACACTTGCAAAGATAAAACACCATTCTATATTTGCTTCTTTTACTATTATATAGCAAACACAAAAGAACACTTCTTGCCCTGTGCTCCCACCTCCTTCATAAAGATAGGAATGAAGAGGTTAATTAAGCCGAGAGCCCTCCAGTCTTTGAGAAAGTATCTAAACGAGCATTGTGTCTTAGCATGTTCTGCTCCTCTCCCTTGGGTCTTGCTATACTCAGGTCCCTCCATGTAACCCTTTTCATAGGATTAGGTTCTTCTTCTCTACAGATTTGCATGGAAAAAAAATAGTGGTCAGCACTAGTCAATCCCAGGTCTCCCTAATGCATTTGGTTTAGTCATATGACTTCTCAACCTTCATGTGTCTGTTTTATATATATTCATTCTGGTTATAAAATTATACCAAGTTATTTTGTCTTCTAAATATTCCTTTATGCTGTTTATGTCTCTCTCTCTATTTCTTTGATTAGAGTGTCATAGCCTGAGAGCCTCTGATCTTCACCGTAGGAAACTAGTATAAGACTAATCATCTGTCAGCAAATTTGGATTGCTGAATGTTTTAGTAATTGCCTTCAAATGTAGTAATGAGGTTGCAAGTTTGATGAAATACTTATGAGGGGTGGCTTTAGGGAAATCAATATTGAATTCCAAATTGCTATGTATTAACACATCTGTCTCCTGTCTTTTTTATTTCAGTATCTACTAGAAATGAAAAGCTTAATCCTACCCCCAGAACATATCCTGAAGAGAGGGGACAGTGAAGCAATAGCATATGCGTTCTTTCACCTGGCACACTGGAAGAGGGTGGAAGGGGCTTTGAATCTTTTGCATTGTACGTGGGAAGGCAGTAAGTAATTTTCTTTCTTTGAAACATTTCTTTAAGAACATGAAAAGATGCTGAAACTGTTTTTACCCTGAGTGTTTATGATGATTAATGCAGATTTGCATGTCTATAGCTCTTCTTCTCTGTAATGTTCCACACTGAGAGATATTTACTTACTTAGACTCTCCAGTTCCCTGGGTTGTGGTGGGTGTTACAGCATTGATGCCATCTCTACAGCTCAAAAAAGCAGGTCTGTGTAATGGATAGAATGAATCTGGATTATTCTAACAACTGAAAACCCTCTTTGGCGAGCTGGCATCAGGGAGATATTTGTCATGGTGGTAGGCCTTGTGTTGAGGTCTGACAACCATTTGATGGCCTTTCTGGGAGGCTTGGCCAAAGAACCAGTTAGCCTCCCTTGGAGAAGCTGGGTTGCCAAACATAAAGGAGCAGCACTTATGCTTCAGACAGTGTAGTCATCATCAGAACTTAGTGTGTGGTGCAGGTGTAACGTGTGTATGAGTAAATACCTGTTGGATGTGAGGAAATTTCTCTGAATACACACCATTTACAGGTGCTAATATTTTGTCTATGAAGAAAAGATTCAAATGTTGGATGAGACATGCTTGCTGCCCTGTAGAACTATAGAAGCATCTAGTGGGGAGGAGTAGCAAGCAGCATGTGATTGCCCATTGATTTTTCATAAGGGAGAGCTATATGAAATGGAGTGGTCAGGGACACCATGTGAAGAAAGACTAGGTTGTGGGGCTGTTTGGGAGAATGTCAGTTGAGAAAAAAGGTCCAAGACTGTGGACTATTTGACACCATATGTGGTGATGCCCTATAATTATTAATTTAAGCAAACCACGTTCAGTTGTAGTATGGGTTGTTTTTTTTTTTTTTAACACCCTCTCCTAGGGGAGCAAAACAGTAAGTATTTGTCTTCTGATAATTTTTTTCTTAGTTCTCCCCTACTCTGATCAGCCTCACAAGCAAATATATTTTTAATCTTTTTCACTATTTATCTCTGCTTCTTCCATTTTTGTTTTGGTAATCTACTCCTGCCTTTTCCTGCTCTTTCCTGTCTCATCAGGGAGCCAAATTGGTGCAGGAAGCAGTCAGATGGGATGGGTTAAAAGTAAGTTCATAGAGATGGGACTCTAGTTGAAAATTTTTCATTTACTTGTTTTGAAAATATTTCTTGAGAGAATTAATGATGGGCCTGCTTAAATAATTTGCTATATATAACTTGAGAGGTGTGGACTTTATCAGTGTTTCCTCCCCTCTCTGTGAGTGTACTGGCAAGCTCCAGGTGTCCTGGTATCTATATGTTAAGACACACTCACTCAGGGCGTATATGGGTATGTACACAAACCCCTTTAGCTTGGACTTATTGTTGCATTTAAGGTGTTGTATCCAGATGAAATTTTTCCTTAAGCTTGAAAAAGAGGATGGAAGAGCCCAGCAAGATTGAACTTGAGTGACCTCACCTTATGTTTGTTGTGGAAAAATTAAATGAACAAATTAACTTATCAAGTAAGAATATATTTCTAGATTGGCATCTTGGAAATATAGTTCTAGAAGCTTATCAGTTGGATCTAAGTGATAAGAAAGTTACCAGTCCTATAGAAAGGATCAAAAAAAAGGGGGCATGGCTGGGTCAAGAAGTGATAAAGAGAATGTGTTAGGAATGGCCTAACCATTAACAAAAATATTCATGAGTAATAACTGGAAGTTCTGTTTGGAGATTTGTTAGCCATATAATCAAAAACAATATATACTCTGTATTAACTGGGAAGAAAAATCAGTGAGAAATGTAAAGTGATGTATTGAGCTCCAGTATCAAACAGGGTAGTGGTTTAGTGGTATTGGGGGGTGTAACTACTTCAAATTAAATGGGCAAAATGATTTAATAGAGTGAAAAAAAGGAGGTACATTTTCATGCATAAAGCAATATGCCAAGACAGTCAAGGTCAAATTTACAAAATAGTAATTTTGCATTTGATCCTTATGGATAAATAAGAACCATTCCAGGAAAGTTACACTGCTGTTCAGTTTTCAGAAAGAAGTAATATTCAGTTTTAGAAAAGAGAAACATGAAGGTCCTTACTAAGTATAACTACCTTGGAAAATACTGAGAACATCTATATGTGTTTGTATTACTGGATAATTTAGAGAGGGTTTACCTTTCCATCATTTCATGTACTCCTGATACGTTCTGATTTAGGCAGGACAGGATGACCATCTCAATTATCGAAGAGAGGAACAGATTTACTAACATGAGTGACTTGTTGAATTTCCTGTTGTCACTGTTGGTAGAGCCAGGATATAAACCCACCTTCCATTTTTCTTCACTGTTCTTTTGTACAATACCCCTTGCAGATAGACTAAGGATATGATCAGTCATCTTCAAAACATTTGTTTACAAGCCCTCAATTTATATAACTACTTAAAGACTGGAGTATATATTTAACTACATCTGGCCCCTTTCTTTTGTTTAGAAAGTTAATCATTTTATTTAAATTGTGTATTTTAAAACATTTTAAATATAGAATATGCCCAAATTTATGAAAAATATTTATTTTTATATATAAACTAAGGAAAAAGACTAGAAATATATCTTTAAGTGGATTTTAGGTGATTTCTTTTTCTTCTATGTATTTCCAAATTTTCCATAACAAGCATATATATTTTCTACAAGCATAAATATGTAGGTTTGTGTATATGTGAATACACATATATCACATGTCTTATAAAATAATCTCTTATAAACACTTTGGGTCCTTTTTAAATATAAAGCTATCAATCTGTCATGCAATTTACAAGAAGGAATTGCCACTCCAGCTTCAGGTGATTGTATACAATCTTCTGACATCACATCTAGATCTGTGTCCATTCTAATTTTAATGTCATGGAAGTTTCAGAACTCAATTTTACGTCAGAGGGCTTGGACTAGAATTCTGACCTAGGTACCTACAGTGGTATTTACTTAACTTACCAGTTTTTGAAAACTGTAAAGAACTGATGATATTGAATATCATGCCCCTTCTCCAGGTTGGTGGGCTTCAGGGCACTTGCACCAAGGGCAGCTATAGTCCCTAAGCTGCTCCTCTCCTCCAAGTAAGCAGGGCTGCACCTGGGCAACCAGGGCTTCAACACAGGAGGCTGCACTTCCTCAAGTTTACCACTGGGTGGTGCCTTTTGACGTCTCCAGCCTCATAATTTAGGTTTTCTCCTTTAAATCATTTATTTCTTATTCTGAAACTTAAGGCCATTCCCCAAGTCTTTTCCAACTTCCCCTTTTCATTAGCAAGAGAATCTAGGGAGGACGGTAACTACCTAATTTCACCAGGTTTTGTGTTTAAAAAGATTTTTCTTTTAGTCAATTTATCTTTTGGAAACTGAGAAAAAAATCTTCTGTCAAGTGTTGGTTCAGGGTAGGGATAGAGGTATATTTTGCTTTGCTTTTTAATTATTTTATTCTGTTGGGCACATTAGTCATCTTGTGGTATTAAGTGAGTTTCCCACCAATGAGGCTGAAATAACTCACATTTTTGATAAAACTCCAAAGTCCAGCTGATGCATGGCAAAGATTGTTTGGGTTTAAAACATATGGTGGATAAAAAAAAAAAGGCAAGAGTTCTCACCACAAATGCATCAGCATTTCAAAGGTTTCTAAGATGTTTGATTCATCACTGCCCCAGCTCCTGAAATTACACAATATGTTCCTCAAAGTCAAGATAATCACGAAAGGGGAAAAATTTTAATTTACAAGATTTAAAAATATTTTTCTCAATTCATTACACAGCTGCCGCCTTATCTGAATCATACTTAAACACCGTGAGTTCTGGTTATCCTCAAACACACATACACACAACACTGCAAGTCTGAGTTGAATATAAAAAACATGTATGAATGAAGGATTTCATTTCATCTGGGTCCTATTTATAATGGTATTGCACCTTATGAGGTGCTATTTTAAATGGCACATCTTCTGTTTTACCTGTATTAAATAATAATGTAGCCTCCTACATCAAGGTAAACCCTCCTACCTTGATCTTTTCAAAGCTTTGTTTTGGCTATATTTATTTTACAAAGTGGGGTGATCTGCTGACCACAACTATGAACTTTAAGACTTAATTTTCTATCTATCAGAAGACTGCTGTGCCATGGGGTAAATCACTTAGCCTTTCTTTGTTTCCATTTTCCACTTGACCAAGTAAGACTCTTTATTTTCTTTTTGGAAATTTTTTTTTCCCAAAGAATTCACTAAATAATGTATAAGATTTGAAGATGGTGTTTTTTAGGGGGGACTAAAGCAGAATATTTCCTTTGAGAGGAGAAAATGGCCCATTGTTGAAGCATAGGATGGAATTCTGATTCTAATTTATTCTCTTTGAACCTAATGGAAAATGCTACTTTCTGTAAGATGTGGTCCTTGGGGCATTTCCTCTCACCAAACCTTTCTTCCAAAGACTGGTATCTTTTGGGGCTAAAGAGAGAGCCCCACCCCCACCTAATGACCATAGATCCAAGGCTAAATTTTGTAATGTGGGAATGGTCATCTAATAAAATCCCTGGCTATAAGTAGTTAGTCTCTAGGTAGTGTATTATGCTTCCCCACTCTAACCCAGTAGAATCAGTTTGCTCCGTTCATTTTTTTCAGTCATAATGACTAACCACAATTTGGGTCCATCTGCATTTTTAAGAGAAAATTCTGTCTCTTCCTGATTATACGTTAATTTGCTCATTCCTTTGTTCAAAAACATTTATTGAGTTCTCCTTTGTGCAAGGCATTGTGTTGGGCATACCAAGATTGAACAAGACTCCAAAATGCCTTGAAAGAAACATTAATATATGTGTGTATATGTAATATATGTAGACATACATACACGGAATGTGTATGTGTATATATAGCAGAGATACAAGCAGTACTGGCATGTAAGAACAGAATGTCAAGAGTATTGTGGTTCACTAGCAAATTAATGAATCTCCTGTAAAATTCTAGAATTTCTCTTTAGAATTGGAATGTCATTTAATCTAACCCAAAGAAAATGATGTTCCAAGGCCACATAACTAGATAGTGAAAGAATGTAGATCAGAACCCAGGGTTTTGACTTTTGAATTTTTTTAATTTTTGTGCCCAAATGCCTCATAAAAAGACAGATGGCCTTCATGACTAGTTACCTACATTGCAGTGAAAAGTGAGAACGTAAAATTTGTGTTTTGATGATAATTTTCTGTTGTTTTTCTTCTCTTCACATTGTTTATAAACAAGCAAACTTTTTATTTTTAAGCTTAGAGTATGACTTCATGGAGAAAAGTGGGAACTCCAGGGTTAGTAGTAAGAGAGGGTAGCAAGAAAACTGCCTATAATTGAGCCATTAGGTACTGTTTAGACACCTTGACCTCTGCTGTCACACTTAGTCCCTTTAACAGCCTTTTGAGGTCTGTGGTATTCTCATTTTAATAACTGGATACAGATTAATAACCCAACCCAAAATTGTTGGCCTGGTCAAGTTCAACTCATCCTTTAGTTGTCACCTCTGCTTCTCTCCCATTAGATACACACAGCCTCATGGACCTCTCCTTCCAGGAGCTGTTGGTATGGGGCTTTCACATTCTTTAATAATTATTGGATCATCTGGTTTTTGCCCTAGGCCGTGAGTTCCATCTGGGCAGAGAATGTGTACATTTCTCCCCTTTCTATCCATGGTGTGTTAGGAAGGCACTTATATTTTGAAGAGGTAGAGCTGGGATTCGTACTTAATTCTGAGTATTTCAAGTAAGCTCTCTATATAAAGTTCTCTGAGCCCCTCTCTGAAAAGGCAACACAAAAAGCAAAATGTCAGATATTACCTTCTATCTTTGTCATTGAATAAGTAGGACGCGAGGTCTTTAGAGATCTTTAGGGAAACTGGGAAACAGCTCACTCGTGTGTCCACCCTTCTATCCATTCTTTGGTTCTATGGGCTTTTCCTCCAATATTATTGGAAAGTGTCTGCTGGGCGCAGCACTGATAGGTTTAGAGCCTGGAAGAGATGTCTGGGCAGGGATAGAAGGCCTCAGGGATAGTGCCTCAGGCTTCATTGTGGAGAGCTTGATGGCCTCACTCACCAGTTTCCTTGACCTTTCAACAAAGGCACAACAGAAACCAAGGTAGGGGAGGGGATTACTCACAAAAATGTGTAAAAATGACATTCGTATACCATCAATATTAACTAGGAATGTTTTGTTTTTAAATGTGTTTTTAATTCCTTTGCAATGTGTTTTTTCAGACAAAGATTTTAAAGGGGTTTGTAGTCATGAAACAGATCAAAGCCATCAAATAGGCGAAGTGACCTAGTTTTTTCCATTCTCATTTCCACTGCCTAATCAGTATTTTAATACTTGCACTGGCAAAATTTCTGGACATTCTACTAACGTCATGAGGTTTCTAGGGTGCAGTTCTACCTGTCTTTGCAGTGAAAGGAACCAGAAAGTGGGAGCTGAAGCTGGCAGGGCTGACATTCTCTCCCCATTCTCTCCAGACTGCCTCCGCTTATCTCTCACTTTGCTTGTCTCTGCACAGTGGGATGGGCAAAGGATAGAAATGCAAACAGAAATTGTATTTGCTTTTGCAAAATACAATTTAATGAAGTCCGAAGTCTTAATATTATTTTACAAACTCAATGTAATGACAACTGATACAAGAGAGAGGTTATAAGAGCACCACAAGCATCTTTATAATCCTGGGGGAAGTAGGAAGACAGTATAGGTCTGTGTGTGTGTGTGTGTGTGTGTGTGTTTGTGTGTTGGGGAGGTGGTAGTGGGGGTCCTATCAGCAACATCTCTACTCTCTCCAGAAAGACCAGAACTGATGAGAAGAAGAAAAGGACTAACTCAGTGCACAGAAATCTGTGTGTATGCCAAATACTGGAGTGAGAAACATTTGGCATCTGACTAAAAGACCCCAACCCACCATTTGATTTCTATGGTTGAACACTCTCAAGATCTTGCAGGCCTACATTTCAGTTAAAAAATTGCTCCCTGAAGTGCAAACTGACTTCAATTTGAATAAAATTTAGCATTCAAATTTATCGCCACTTTGAAAACTGAGGGTTTACTTATATGAACAGGAACAGATTCTTTTTTTTTTTTTTATAGAGGTCTATTATTTATGAGCAGAGATTAACGATCATTTTTTGCATAAAAATTTGGGCATGTGGGCCTCCCCCGTGGCGCAGGGTTGCGAAGCTGCCCGCAGCCTCTGCAGTGCCAGTTCCATCCCCGGCTGCTCCCCGGCCACCGGAGGAGGCTCCCACATGGCGCGCAGACCTCTCCTGCCGCCCGCTGCTCCCCTTTGCAGTGTACTTCGGTCCTTCTGCCTGCTCTGCTCCCTGTTCTGGCTCTGGTGAATTCTCTCATCCTCACGCGCTTCTGACTGTAGCCAGTGCTTGTATAAATAAATAAAAATAAATCTTAAAAAAAAAATTGGGGCATGCAAAATTATAATGGTATTCAACAAAATTTTATTGCTGCCACAAATCTGCTTTTGGACCTTTACTATTTTAGGGAGCTGAACAGATTCTTAGTTACAACAGTCCTGTTGCACACGGAGAGGCTGGATTTCAAAAACAACAACAAAACTTCCACATAGGTTTTCCCACATTTGTGGGATGCTTTCATAGCAGTTATCATTTATGGGAAATGGTATTAAAATCCTGCTGTAGTGTAGTTTAAATTTGAATATGCTGCTTCTCAGTAGAGGTTTTAGTGTGCCCTACAAAGGTGCTCAAAAGGGTTGTTTTTGTTTTGTTTTTTTTTCTCCCCTCTCAGGCAAATCCAATTCTATTGAGAGAGATTGGTTCCTTCCACAATCTTTGTATGATAACAACTTTTGTAGGGAGCTCCTTGCTCTTTCTAGTGGGCAAAAGTCATCTTTGTTTGCATGAAAGTAAAGATCTGATAGAAGTAGGGTGAGCCTTTCATTTTAAGAAGAGTTAAAGTCTGGGGTGTTTTTAATGTTTTAATCTCTGTTTAAGAGGTTTCTGTAACGAGAGGAAAATTGATAACACTTTTACCTCAGCAAACTGCCAGCAAACTGGCTCTGCTCTAATCCCACGTTTATAGTGATTTATATTCTCCGTGGCAATGTGCTGTAACCTCAGAGTGATACCACTGTGGTGCAGATTGACTGCATTCCAAATGCTGGAATCACATACATAATGTTTTTACTTTTAAATAATATTCAGACACCAGAATAAATACCATATGTGCACTGATGCTGGTTACAATGGAACCTTGTCATTTCTTGTGAGAGAGAACATTCTTTGTTTCTGATTCCTGTTTGAAATAAGTATGCAAAAGATAAATATGTACATTGACAGCATTTTTGAGAAGGCTTAGGTAATTACACAGCTGAGGATGTAGCTGTGATTCCTTGAAATGGAGCGTTTAAAACTAAAGGGGTTGCTGGGTTGCCACCTCTCTCTGACGCTCACGAAGACAAGGATTGTTATCTGACATTCCCAGCATACGACGGTGTAGTTTTTATGTTTTATATCTACAGCATGCTGTAGTAAAGGACATCTGTTGAAGAAAAATTACCTCCAGGAGCACTGTTCATAGGAACAGTGAGACTAACATGCTGATGACATTGTAACAGGGAGAGTAACACATGTGATAATGGGAAGGGATGGATTGATTGGAAAGCCATAATTCAGTGTGAGACCCCATGTTATCTGATGCCACAAAAAAACAGAATTTAGGTGGCCTGACATCATCAAACTACAGATAATCAATCTCCCCAGATCCATTTTTTACCCATGTGATATTGAAGATTTAAAAGTTTCATAAAGTTAAGAAATACCTCCCTAGTCATGCAGTTTTAGATTCTTGTTTTTATCCGTCTTGGTTGGAATTCTAATCCACCTAGACATATTTTTTAAATAGACATGGTAGAATGCCTTTCATATTTGTACATCTGTAACAAGCTCCAACAAGTCAGTCCACATTTGCTTCTTGGGGAAGCGTTTCAATCCAGGCTTGCATTATTACCATCAGTTAAGCTATATTGAATTAGTGTTTATAACATTTTAATAATATTTGGGAGATGAGGAAACCCTAGGCATGGGAATTGATGGCTTTCCTACTCCTTTGCACCCCCATCCCCACCCAGTTTTGTGAGGTTTGCCCAGAATATATAGTGTGAGATTAATGTGTGAGTCATACATCATAATACATCTCTGACAGTTTATCTGGCACATGACTCAGAGTCTGGGTAAATCTTGCATCCTTTCTGGGAGTTATTTGTAGACGTGTTCCCCATTATAAAACTGCTCAAAAGTGATTTTTTGAAGTGGAGAAGTTATGAAGCAAGTATTGAACCTGCAACCTGTTGTCTCTCCTTTTCAGCTTTTCGGATGATCCCTTATCCCTTGGAAAAGGGGCATTTATTTTACCCATACCCAATCTGTACAGAAACAGCAGACCGAGAGCTGCTTCCATGTAAGTCTCACTTCTCTGTCTTCCTCTCTCCAGCCAGTGAGGGTGGCGTGCCTGCAGGGGAGAGGTGGGAATGATAAATGTTTATGGTGTTCCTTGTCTTTTATTACTCTTCTCCCTTCCCTGTCCTCATTTGATAGCATATGAATTAAAGTGAATTATGTCAGTGAGTTTGGCTTCCTGTTCCTCCAAGTCTCTCCAGATTCATAAGGGGAAAGACCCCAGAGGACTGAAATGTAGATGAAGAGCCATCATGTACTGGTTGGCCTCAGCACAGAGACTGCTAGTTGGTCTGGACTGGTCCAAGGTGCTGGGTTTTGCCTGAGCATTCCAGCTGGTCAGCGGCAGCCTGCACAGACCTGGAGTTAGAAGAGGAAGCGCTGACTTCAGAGAATGCTGCTGATGAGTCAGGGATGGGAGGGCAGCACCAGGATGCTGGCATCAGTGCCAGAGGCGGAGTTGTGGGGAGGGAGGGCTTGCTATCTGCCAGTGATGCTATGCTCTTGGTCAGAGGGATTTTCTGCAAGCTGTCGGGATGGCACACGTTTGGTTGGTACGAGATGTGCTGGGCCCATGAGCAGCCTCAGCACGGTGTAGGGCACAGAGAGGGAAAGCCCTGTCCTCGGGGCCCTTACAAGCTAGCAGCCTGATGGCCCCAGCACATGTGGAAAGTATGATTTGGTTTACTGTAATATAACTTTGTTTTGACAATTTCAGCTAAATAGTTATTATCAAATCATGCTGTGTACAAGAATCACGTCCAGGCTCTTCATGTGGCCCTGCCTTAGGACATATTTTTCTCCCTAAGAAAATAAACTCCAAATTTTGGCTTTTCTCTCTTCCCCTCCTCTCTCCTGCTACCCCTTCCCATGTAGCAGTACATGTTATAAGTATACTCGCCCAGAGTGACAGGGTAACTTTGGAGTCCTGGGTGCGTAATGAACTGTCCAGTGCCAGCATCACCGAGCTAGTCACAGATCTCCGCCGTGATGGGCTCTGGGTACAAAACCAATTGCCTTCTCAGATTGAAGTAGCAGGCAGTAGCCACTCATTTCCTGCTAGCCGGCCCCCGGGAGATGTGCTACTTGGGAAACTGGGAGAGCTCAGTGATGTGTTTGTTGTGCCTCACTGGCCAAGTTTCACTGTGAAAAGGGGTCTGGTGCCTCATATTCCATTAGATTTGATTTCACAAATCCCTGTTATGAGTCTGTACTTTACCTTTTGACTCCTGCTTCAGGGAAACCCTTGGTAAAGTTTCAGTTTTTCTGATAGCAAAAAGCTGCTTTCTGAAGAGTTCTGTTTTAAGATATTTTCATTGAGTCCAGTTTACTTGCTAAGATTAGCGATTAGAATGAGATTACAGTCCTTAAATGATAGGAGTAATCTTAATAAGCCTGAAATAGAAAATTATGGCCCACCTTTATTGAATTGAATGCAGTGGTCCACATATTGTTCTCCACACAAAACCTTTCGTGGGGGTTGTACATTTAGGGTGAGACAGGACAAGCCTCAATTGTTTTAAACCTCCCGATAGTTCATGCTCATTACCCTCATTTTGAATCCAGCAGGTTGACTTCCCTGGATCTAGAGGCACATGCTCATTTGTGCTTTCTCCCTCCCTGCACATGCCCGCCTCAGTCTCAGCAGAATGCGTGGTTTCTAGGGTTCCAAGTAACAGGAGCTGGAAACTTAGAAAAAGTCTTTAGATCATGGATTTCATGAGGAAAATGGAGCACTTGGGTCCTTTTGGCTGCGTGCTGGTGGTGCTCACATGCAGCTTCACAGCTGTTCCCCTCCGCGCCCTGGCCCTGGCAGTGGGTGCTCCTCTCCTCTGTGCTGGCCCCCCCGTGCTGCTCACAGGCAGCCAGGAGGCAGGGAGAGTCCATTCTCTGCTTTTGTGCTACAACTTTATGGTTTCCCCAAATTTCACCCTTTGAAATTTAAAAGCTGTGAAAGGTGCTCTAAAGTACAACAATTATTTATCATTTTTGTTGGTTGTTGGAGGTACATTTATCATCCAGAATTCCCTACGCTTGTGTGAGATAATGCTCCTGCCTTGTCCCCCAGCTCTCCCAGATAGTGGAGGCCAACACGTGAGGGCCTTGCCAAGTGGCCCTCCACCAGGGTGGCCCTCTCCGCTGACATACTTAGAGTATACCAGGAACCAATTCAAGATAAACTAACATCACCTCATTATAATTAAGATATTACAGGAAGGTGAAAACCTACATAGAGGTGTTTCTTTTTTCAGTATACCTGATTTTGGATTTCCTCGTTTTGAATAATGAACATGTCTTTTATAATTTGAATAAAGTTTTATCTTATGTGCTTTTGATTTTGAGAGAGAAATATAATATAGTAGGCATAGATGTCCCTGCCCGTGACTTTGTGACATCGCCAAATCAGCCCTATCATGCCCCTAAAGTGCTAAAGGTTGAACACCGACTTGGGAGGAGTAGAGAGGCCACCCTTAAAGGGCTGGCTCGGATCTTAGCTGCAGGTTGGTCAAAGGCCTTGGCCTTTTCATTTCCAAATGGCTTCAGCCAAAGCTCAGGAGAGTCATTTCCATAGCTAGAAATCTGCTGAGAATGCACTTTACTCTAACCCTAATATTTCCCTTTTATTCTTCACAGCTTTCCATGAAGTCTCAGTTTACCCAAAGAAGGAGCTTCCCTTCTTTATTCTCTTTACTGCTGGATTGTGTTCCTTCACAGCCATGCTAGCCCTCCTGACACACCAGTTCCCAGAACTCATGGGGGTCTTCGCAAAAGCTGTGAGTATTCACCCAGAGGAGGCCTCAGGGACAGGGCGAGGAACCAGCACAAGGGAAGTGGGGAGTGTGCTCTAAACATGGCTTTGCCCATGTTGATCACTCACTGTTCAATTTCATCATCCTCAATGGAATCAGCATTTAGAGTCAAATGAGAAGTGTGGATGCTCATAAGTGTATGCCTTGACTTATTTCACATGCAAACACACAAAATTTTCTGCAGTTTTCAAAAAATGCATGCGGTGTAAAAGGATCACACAGATAATTAAAGGGATATTAGCAAATGTGTGGGACATTGTTTAATTTTGTGTAAATGTAATGACATGATGTCTAATCCTTAGAAATCATGTGTCTTCTCTTCAAGAAAGGTAACATTTACATTTTCAAAATGATTGAAATTTAAAAATATTTAATGACTACAAACCTTTGATTTATTTGAGGTATAAACAGAGAAGTGTGATGGGCTTGCAGTGTTAAGATGTATACAAATAGGACATTCAGAAGTAAGGAAATTCAGTAAGAATCTGTAAGGAAGACTGTAGGAAGGAACTATACTAACAAAAGCCACTGCATTGACAACTAAGAACCAGTTTCCTTGTTGAAAACTAACCATTTCAATCTGCACACATGCAGTGAGGATAGGCTTATGGATTTTGCTGCAGATGAATTTCAAACAGAAGGAAAAAGAAAAAGAATGTCAGTTGTCTCTCCTAAACTCTATTCTGATTTCAAGGCAAGTAGAGTCACAAAGGATGATTTCTAACTTGGCTGGGTTGATTTAATCCCTTTCCAGATGATTGACATTTTCTGCTCGGCAGAGTGCAGGGACTGGAATTTCAAGAGTATTTTCATGCATGTTGAAGATGAACTGGAAATCCCACCGGCATCTCAATGTCAACATTTCCAAAATTGAACTCATCACCCTTCTTCCCCCACCACGAAAGTCGCTCCCCCTCCCTGTATTCCTGACCACCAGTGGCACTGCCATCCATCCTGTTATACAAGCCAGAAACATGGCAACTTTCCCAAACTTTTCTCTCTCTCACTTCTCACATCCCAGTGATCTGTGGAGTCTTAAGGTTGCCTTAGCCACTAGACATTCAGTGACTGTAACTTGCCTCTTCCCCTGCTCTCCCCATGTCTCTCTCTTAGTTTAGGCCTTCGTTATTTCTTGCCTGGACTCCTACAAAAGTCTTAACTGGTCTCCTTACTTCCAGTCTTATCCTCTACCTATATTTATTTTATGCTGACACAACAATGTTCCTTCCAAATTGCAAGTTTTAGCCTGTTACTTTCCTGGATTAAATTTCTCCAATAGTTTCCCACCAACTTCAAGATAAAGTTTCAGCTCTTTAGCATGGCATGCAAGGTCCTTTGCGATCTCGTCCTTGCTTGCCTTTTTTTTTCTTTATTTTTTTCACATCGTTCATTTTTAAACACTATTTGCTTCCTCCCACTCCCTCAGGTGCAGTCCCCATAGCATTTCCTCCGCCATGCACCCTGCACCACAGTCCCCCTGTGCTCTTCCCTGCCTCTCTCTCATCCCTCTCCCTCCTCCCCACTGCAGGATGTCTCTGGTTTATAATTGTCTGGCTTTGCTTTGTTGTGTTTTCCCTTTTCAGCCTCGTCTCTCCCAACTCTTGCCTAGACACTGATCTTAGGCCATTGTGAGTCACTCACCATTGCCAGATACAGTAGGCTCTTGTACACCTCAGTGCCTTTACACATGGTGCTTGTTGTGCATGGAACGCCGCTCCCCATTACCACCCCCCACCCATCCACTGCACTAATTCCTTCTTCATTCTTTTATACTCAGCTTTCTTTCCAAGTTCCTAAGCTATGGTAGATGTTGCTCCTCTATGATCTTACATTATTCCATGAATACCTACATTATCACATTTATTGTACTATAATTGTGGAAAACTTCTCCCCCTTTTAGAATGTAAGCTCCTTGGGAGTAGGACTCTAACTTCCTCTGTATCCCCAAAACTTTGCTCAGTGCCTTGCACATAGTAGGTTTTCAATAAATGATAATTAAATAAATAAATGGTAGTGGTTTCTGAAGATAGAATCCATGTAAACATCAGAAAATGCTTAGCATTTCTTTTATACTTATAATCACAGACTCTTGAAAGTTGAAAGGAATCTTAAACTGCCTTAAGCAGTAACATGATGGAGGTCATCTGGACTCATATTGAATAATTTAAGCATTGGGAAGCTCACCTATTTAACACCAAAAACCTACCCCATTGTTGGATCATTCAGGACTTTTCCTTATGCTGGTAAAATATGCCTCCCTTTAATTTCCACTAATTCCTATCTGCCCGCTGAAATTATCTTGAAAGTCTACTTTCTCTTAGAAATTCTTAAGACAGCTAACACTTTTAATGCCACCTCTAACTGTATAACCTTCCTTTTTCTCTAGGCAAAATACTTAAATTTCCTTAAGCCTTCTGAACATGACATGATTTCTAAGACAAAATATCACCTAGGTTTCCTCCTTGTATGCTCCCTAGTTTATAGGCCTATGATATTCATTATTTTTTCTACTTCCAAACCAACCTCTGAGTAAAAGTAGTTTCTTAACCTGAGTAGATTAGAGTGTAATGTAGTAAGATTTAAAGTGAGACTATATATATGACATTAAAGAATTACTGTTTCTCCTTTTATGTTCTCTTAAACATTTTTAGAACATTTTTGTAGATGTGTGTCATTGGCCTAGTATTCTTCGTTAAACTAACAAATAGCTCTTGGTGGGAGTTTCGCATCAGAATAGAGATTCTAAGCCTCTAATGTGCATAGAATTTATCTGCCCATGCCACCAGAAATTCAAAATCTTAAATGTTTGTACCCAAGGATCTGTATTTTTAATGGGGTCTCAAGCAGATTCTCAGGATCAGGCTTGAGGACCAGGTTTCCTTCCAAGAAAACTGATACTTAAGAAAGCTTTGAGCAGCTGTGTGCAGGGATATGGTGTTCTTTCAGAGCTGTGATGTGAGCGCATTCCAGGAATCAGTGGTTCCACCCCGCTGTATCATGCAATTGTCTAGGAAGCTTAAAAAGTTACTGGTCTCCCTCCCCCAACTCTACCATCTTCCCTCTCCCCTGCCCAGCCCCTCTCCACCCCATCCCCCACCCCTGGCAGACTGACTTAATTGGTCTAAGATACAGGATGGGCATCTAGGTTTATAGACACTACCCAGGTGATGGGGTGTGCAGCTAGGGCTGAGAACCACTGTATTGAATAAAATGACTAACTTAAACCACTTTAATCAAGTGAGAGAGTTGGGAGGAATGAGGAACAATGAATAGAACTCCACTGGGTGTTGTCTAGGAAAGGCTGTATAGCCCCCAGAATATCAGAGATGTGTTTGTTATGGATGTTAGACAAGGGGCCGCTCTCTCCCACTTAACATTTCTAAAACTTTGGTTTTAAGTCTAGGACCAAATGATAGAATAAAATATAAATTTGCCTTTATAATCCTCATATTTTATACTCCACTAGCTGTGGTGATTTGGTCAGCTACTCATAATTTTCAAAGGTAGTTTAGATAAATTTGCTTTTAAACCTCTGTCTGGAGGATCACATTCATCTTGCCCTTCATTAAGGTTTAACAGTTTCCAAAATGTCTGGAAAGACTTCGTGGGGAAGGAAGATGGATGGCCTGAAGCAGACAAGCCCCATCTCTCCTCATCCCCGTCCCCCACCCCCAGAGTTTTCTCCACATTTTCACCCCTGTCACTTCATCAGGCCCCTCATGAACACAACCCAACCTCCCAACTCCTCACCCCTGCAGGTTATCACAGCTGCCCTATAGGCTGTCTGTAACCATTTGCAACTTGTGAAAATGATTTTCTCAGACCTCGCTTGAGATAATGTCCCTGGGATAATGACTTTTAGGAGATGCAGTGAGATTGCACTGCCACCCCCCCAGCTACATGTGGCTTGGGAACTCTGTGTGTTTACATGTTGATACGCAGCCAGTAGGGAGGCCCACGGCAAAGTGAGAGCCACTGGAAAATCATAAAGTGAGAGACTTCAGCTGGCTTTCTCCCCAATCTAATCTACCTCAATGACTTAAGGCTAACTCTTCCTTGAATGTTTGGTTACCAAGATAAGGTTGCTCATATAAATAAGTTATTCCAAATCCAGCCCCTCACAGAATGTGGGAAGGTCAGCATTCTGACCCCTTCTGCTTTCAAGGGCCCTGTCTTTACTCTGCTGGTCTCTCTCCTTCCCTGAGACTGAGCCCCCTGACTTCTGACTCTCATCTTCACTTATAGGCCCTGTCCTCTTTGAAGTCTGATATTGATTACAGTGAAATGTCAATTGTCTGATTGCAATAGGGCACCTGGAACTTATTCAGATAAGCAGAGTCGTTTCAAATGTTAACGAAGCATTTGGGAGCCATGACCCTCTTCTAAATGATGGTGTTTTGGGAAAAAGAGGATCAGGCGATTGAAGTGTCACTCTCTGTTTTTTTATTACTTCAGTTGCTTTTTCTCACCACAAGACACTGATTGAATTATGGTGCATTTTGGACTGTGTGTCTCTGCCCTCTACACAGATGTTTTTGGACATTGAGATAGAAGAACTGTTCCAAGGTTGCCTGGTGTTACTTATTCAGACTTAACTTTTCAGGCGATATATGTTCCAAATCTGTAAGTAAAACTGCTGTTTATGTGCATTGGTTGAGCCTCTCACTGTAAAGGTATTGACTGATTTTCACATTTGCAAAGAAATACAAATAAATAGCCCAAGCAAGGCAAATTCTGTCCCTTTTTTTTAATACCTCCTGATAAAAAAGCCACTGATCTTTATTTGGTTACTAAATGAAAAGGTTTAGCAGCCTCAGATACCTCATTCCATTGTCTGCTTCTTCCCTGTGGGAGGGAAGAGGAGGGATTGTACAGAGGGGTGCAAAGGAGTCGCTAATAAAAGAGTATAATGTCAATTGGAGTGCTGTGAGAGAATTTGGGTCTCTAGGAAAAGGTGCAAGTGACTTAATACACCCAATGATGGAATATTCTAGATGTGAGGGAGAACAGTAAATCTTTATATTCATTTGGAGGTAGTAGGAATGCAGTTCTCTTGTGGAACCTTGTTGAGGAGGATAGGTGTAGTTAAGGAGGCCGGGCCCATCACAACTTGCTGTGCAATCAGGGAAGAGGGTTACTTGCGGACATCCACCAGGGCGAGGCTGGCTTCTTGATTTCCAGAGGCTTCACTTCTGCTCTTTTATATGAGCCAGGTCAATACCCAAGGCAAACACACAAGCTATCCTTTATTTTGAGCCACCTTTATAACAACACCTCCGTTCATTCTGCTAACCAGAGTGAGATTCCCCGATGTCCCCATGTTCTAGTGCATGAAATCACCCAGAGTGCAGATTTCAAGCACTGTCTCACCTAAGTGCACTCATGCTAATTTGATGACTAATAATTTGATGACTCCTTCACCCACCTCCCCCAATTCAACTTTGGATATTCTAAATCTGTTTCTCATCAAATCTTTTGGATATGGATAGCCTTACCAGCAATAATACCTGAGTTCCATCTTCTAGGCCCAATCAGAATCTCTGGCTTAACCAGACCACTTTAGCACCTAGTCCTCTCTGTGGAACTGAGTATTAGAGGCAAGTGCTGTTTTTATGGAGCTTTGGTGTCTTTGCTTACATATAAATAAATGAATGAATGAGTTTATGAATGTGGATACGTATGTATATAATGTATATATGTTTTTAATTTTGTAGTGTTATTATGTTGGGTTAATGCAATCATTAGCAGACTTGTTCCATATTATTCTCTCAGAACCAGGATTTTACAAACACTTTCAGAGGCAGCTGGAGCACTAATTACTCATTCCTGGGCCCATCATCGCCCCTGATGCCTTGCCATGGCATTCGTAGGTGGTACCCAGTCAAGCTCTAGATTGAAAGAGTAGGCAGTCCATTCTGTAGGCGAGCATCCCATGTTCTGTGCACCCAGGAAAGGATCATTTCAGAAGATAACAGAAATTGCCATATATCCAATACCCAATTGAGGAAAGAGCCATCCCATCTTCACTCAAATACTGGCTACACTGGGACCTCCCTGGTAGTGCAAGGGATTAAGCACAGCACTGTGAAGCTAACTGCAGCCTCTGCAGCACGAGTTTAATCCCCGGCCTGCCAAGGAGCTACCCACATGCGCAGCAGACCTCTCCTGCTTCGCCCACTGCTCCCCTCAGCAGTGTATTTTCAGTCAATCTACCTGTTCTGATCCCCACTCTTTCTCTGGTGAATCCTCTCACCCCCTGCACCACTGGCCTGTACCCCATTTCTTATATGCATAAATAAATAAATCTTAAAAAAAAAAAAAACAAATACTGGCTGGACTGCCAGTGTACTGATTGTGAATCCAGCCTGACATTCAAGGCTCCCCTGAGTTCTTCTAGTCACTTTGACTCTACTTCTAAATTCCAGCTAAGCCAAACTATTACTACCTTCTGGTCATACAGATGTGTTCCCATTTCTGTGCTACTGTTTGCTGAACCTGAAGGGCTCCCCTGCTCATATTTCTTCCTTAATGATCTTTCCTCCATTTCTATCCTTTGATGTCCCAACTATATCTATGGCCTCATTTTAAGCTTTCCTCATCTTTCTGCAAAATGCATTCTCTCCCTTTTCTGAAGCCCCCAGGTGCTTTGTTTGGGCTTCCGTCTTCTATCACATCTATCTGATGCTATTACTTTTCTGTGCACGGGTCTTAATGACCCACACCCCTGGGCTTTGAACTTCTTGACAGTGGGAACTTTGTCCTAAATTCCTTTACATCTCACCCAGCACTTGGGTGCCTTTCTGAGTAAATATATCTCATTGCTGTAAAGATGGCAACAAGGAGGATTCCAAAACTTGTACTAACTCAAGTTTTCTTCACACCAATCTCACACTTGATGGCCCAGGCCTTCCCAGTTGTATTCTGTTGATTATAAAACCAAAAAAAGGGAAAGATTCTGAGGTCAAATGAATTTGGGAAACTTGTCTACCATTGGCTGGAAGATCCACAATCCATAGGACATATGGCGAGTAGAGGAATCTGTTTCAACTACATTAAATGCACTGTCTACTAATTTGACTTCAGGACTATGCTCCCCCTCTGCATATATACTCATATTCTACACTACACTTCTATGAGAAATTCTTGGGTAAATCCCCAACAGTGCTGTTGGGAATTAGGTCAAAGGACTCCACTGTATGAGAATGCTGTACAAGGACATCGAACCTAGTAATACAGTGCCTCGGTGCTGAACATTTAGAGAGCAAGGAAACCACCCAAACACTATCCATCTCGCACCTGGCTTGGTTAGCACCTCTTCTGCCAGACGCTGGATAGCTCATGGAATGAAAATGATTCTTCACAAGAACATAATTAGAATAAATTTGAGATTATGTTAAATGAATCTTAGTGAGTTACTTGGCTTCCTTAAAGGGCACAGTTAATGAACATTATTTTCTACATGGCATGCAGAAAGGAATTTAGCAATGAAAGAGACCCCCAAGGATCTCAGAGCAGTACCTCTTCAACAAGCACATGTCATCCATGGAGTGACCAGCTTGCTGCCCTCACCCAGGCTCACATGATGCACCACTAAGCAGGCAGTTCACAGAGGAACAAAAAGAGGACCTCAAGCAACTCACAAACATTTACCAAACATGACTTTTTGAAAAGTGACTTTTCTATGTAAAGTGAGTTCTATCCAGCTAGGCAAGTAGGTGGGCTAAGCTGCCCCTTTTTTTAACTCTTCCGCCCACTGGTCACCCATTTGTCAGTCCCTTTCAATGGCACGAGTCATCTGCCTGGGCACTCGCCAGATCCTAGTGTCTAGCAGAAAGATCGGTTGGCAGAGGGAGGAGGAAACTGTCAGTAGACTCTTCTCCCCCTTCTCCCCTTATTGCTCCAAGCAGAAGGCAAGGACTGCCATGAAGGTTTGTTCATCTACCAGTGCTTCCTGCAAATACAAATATGAAATTGTAGCCGTTTGAGACTTTCCTAACGCAGAGACAGAAGATGTAAGCCAGAGGAATCTGGGCTTAGAGAGGTTCATCTTCTAGTCTTGAACGAGATCTCTCCTAACTTCTGTGCCTCTCTGCTTTCTTTGCAGTTCCTCAGCACTTTGTTTGCCCCCTTAAACTTTGTCATGGAGAAAGTGGAAAGCATCCTCCCATCCAGTCTGTGGCACCAGCTGACACGGATCTAGGGAAGCCGCCCATCCTCCCACTCACCTCACCCAGCGGGCTGCCACCATCTCTTCCGTGCCAAGTCCTTGTGGAGAGCAAGAAAGCATGACTTTGAAAAAGGGAAGCCATTCCAAGATTTTAAAATGTTCATGGACTATCTGTTCCATATTAAAAGTTGTTTTTGTTGTACAAAACTCATCAATGTTCAGTTCTATTATATTTTGCCTTCGGAAAAGAAAAAAAGGTCAAAAATAAACTTTTGTGTATTGCAGCAACCAGTTGTGTCTTCCCATGTCTTCCAACCCTAGAGGTATTGTGTCTCAAATAAACCTTTTTAATATAATTTGTTAGGGACCCAGATCTGCTCAGTGGTGGTATATGATGCTGATGGAGCTCATGTCACCAGGCCCCTATGGTTGGCTCAGAAAATGGAATCTCTTTGGCTCAGAAGTACCAATTTTTCAGCCTCAGACTGACTGTGCTCATAGACCAAATGAACAAAAAGTGTTTCTAAAATGAATGACGGGGAAATTGAATGAATGGAACATGTGTGCCATAGCAAGGTGCTCTAGCTCAAGGACACTACTCATTGAATAGACTCAACATTGAAGTTCCCGGAATCATGTTGGTTTTGCTTTCTGAAAATATAGTGAGAAGAAAACTTCCTATTGAGAAGCTACAGACCCAACAGTCTCTAATAGACACTGACAACTTAATAATGGCCATTTTTAAAATACTTTCTTATGAAGGTACTTTAAAAAAAGTATTATCTTTGTATTCTTGGTTGGTATTTGGATATGAGCATTCTTTAAGTATGATTCTCAAAGTGAGATATGATCACTTTGATTCAAAGTGATCTTTTGTCCTCACTACCTTTGAAAGCCTCCTTAAATGGTTCACACCTGCCAAACAGCTGGCTTTACTTAAACAAAAGAAGAAAAATAACTAATCTTGAGTTCTCTATTAAGTGACAAGTACCTCTATTTAAAATCTCGAACCAGTCCTTAAAAAAATGGACTGTCCTTTACATAGTATGTTTTCCCTTTTATTTAGAATGCTGAATCTTTCCCCATGAGCATTAAAATAGGCAGCGTGAAATGAATAATGCCTTGTACATCTCCTTCTCAGTTGGAATTCCTGCTGGCTCCCGATCTTCATTCTAGAGCACATTCAAGCGGGCAGATAATATTCAGGTCACGAGGGCCTTTCATGCTTTGGGCAAGTTTTCCTTTATATTTCCTTTGTGCAAAGCCCTGACAAGAATATGCCCCTGCTCTTAGGAAATTATCTTGGAAGAGGTTGAACGCAACACTCTACACCTGTAGTACTGCTCTTGGGAGCAGGGACTATGTCTACCTTGTTTCCCTCTTACTTCTTCTTCCCCCAACACAACTCTGAACCTGGAGTAGATGTTCAAATGATTTGTTGAAGAAATTGATGCAATATCTGAGAGGCATGAATAAACTTTTATTTACATTCAGAGGAGAGAGCTTGGTTCCAGCAGAGAAGGACCAGGGAAGGCTTAGACTTATCATTTTGAACTGAAAGAAAAAATAATAGTTCTCTATTAATCAGTGGGGAAAATGATGTCCAAAGAGATTTTATCTGCCAGAGTTTGAACTCTTTAAGATTGTGATAAGCCTTGAATGAAAAGTTCGAGAGCCTGTAGGCAGTACAAATAGAAACAGCCCCATGTGGGTTTTTAAGAATCCGAGTTGCAGGAAGTGCAGCAAAGGAATGAAATGCAAGGATTATAAGTATCCTAAGAATTCAATAAGTCGGGCTTTACAGCAGTTTCATGGCGATGTGATATATGGTAGAAGTCTACGGGTAAAGGGAGTCAAGGGGAGAGGTCAAGGTAGAGAAAAGGTGGTGACCCAATGAAGCCACATGGAGGTGATTGAAGGAAATGACTCCATGGTCCCAGAGAGGACTAATCACATGATGGGGGGAAAGCATAGCTAAATTGAGGGAAGCAAGATGATCTTGAGGTAGCATCTATGTCTCCTTCAGAGTAATATCAACAGTTCTCTAGCAGGAACAAAAAGGGCAGAAGGGAAGCAGGTTTTCTTCCCCACTTTTACCAGTTGTTTCCTGTTGTGTCCAGCTCAGGTTGATTTCGTAGTCCCTTGGGTCCTCAGCCTTGAAGCTTTTGTGGGACCTACCTGAGGAAGAAAACCTTGGAACTGAAAACCTTAACTAGCATCAAAAGGCAAGGAAAACTCAGGTTGGTGTGTATTTGTCTAGGGAAAGGGCAGAACGCTACAGCTTTAAAGAGTGTGCAAGGAATATATATTTATTTAAAATTATTTTAAAATTACCTATTTCTGCTCTGAATCCCCATCCCGCAATACCTACATCTCAAAGGCCCATGTGCTGGTTTCCTCAGACAGCACCATTATCCAAGCCTACAGTGTCCCTGAGCCTGATGGCTCTCTGTTTCCATGACTACAAAGGACCTGAGATCCCACCCCTGCCAGCCTCCATGTGAGTCTCTCTGTCACTCTTGCTGAGGCTTGAGTGCCGCTCACAGGCCCACAGGCTAACCCTTTAGGCCTCTCAGTTTTTTAGCCTCCCTCCTGGACAGCCAGGACAGTCTCTGCAGTGGGATCCCCCTCCTTCCAAACCCAGGCTTTTACAGACTGCTTCCCTGAAAGCTTTCTTGAGCAAAGAACTAGAAAATCTGGACTCCTGCTTGAAATAGCAGGAGAAGGCAGGGAGAAAATATGAATTAACATCTCAAAGATATTTGATCCCTCATATGGAAGGTAAACTTCTTCCAGTATAAATTGGATTTGTTTATTTACCCATCCCTCTACTCAAACTACATTTATTGTGGACCTATTGTGTGCCAGGGATAACATCGTGCTCTCCCAACTTTATCTTGAATGGCAGCACTTGTCACTGTATTGCACTTGGATGTTTACTTGTCTGTTTCCCACCAGACAAGGAAATTGAGTTCCATATTATGGCATTCATCTGCACACTCTCATGATCTGTAACTACATATTCTGTATCCTACAAAGCTCAGTAGATGTTGCCAGCAAGGAAAGACACACAGAGGCGAGGATGGTGCCAAATCAGAAGTAAGCTTTGATTTCTAGAAGCTCAGGAAAAAAATGATTAAAATGAAATAAACTGTATTTGTTCTGGGACAGTATTTTAATGAGGAGCATTATGAAAACTTTATCAAATTAATGTTTAGCTTGGAGGTATCATTTCTCTATATACCACATCCCCCAGATGATCATTGTTCACAATTACTGAGCGTCTTAAACCACACTGGCCACTAGATGTGTATGACCTCTTCCAAATCTCCAAACCACCCTGGAAAGTCAGTGAGCCCCAATGGGTCAATGGCCTTTGTGTGAACCTCTGAGCACCTGCACACTGACCTTTTCGCTCGTGGCCACAGGATTCTTGCTCGCCTGCCTCTAATGCCCTGACTGCCTGGTCTCTACACTTGGAAGCAGGTTACTTATGCCTTAAGGCCTTTGGAGAAGGACAGCAGGGACACTGCCTCTCAATCCCCCAGAAAGAGATGTAGAATCTGAGCAGATCTTGAAAGGCACTGTGCACTTCACATTCCAGCCCTATGTTTTATGATAGGAGATAGGAGACTAAATTCTGAGATGAGATGATCTAAGCATGAAAACCAGTAGAGTGCTCTGTGTAGACCTGAACCCAGAAGAAGAACACTGCAATGAGTACAGAGCAGCATTTCCCACAGTGGGTTCTGAGAAACATTAGTGCAGTGAAATGCTTTCTTGGAATATAATGCAGCCTTCACCTTTCCTGGAAATCGCAATGTCAGAAGCCCCATATTAGACAGAACTGTTTAATCCAGCACTTGAGATCACAGGACCTCTTTTTATGAGAATATTTATTTACTTCTCACAACATTCATTTTGGAAAACTTTGGACAAGAGCGATGTCAAATCAAAAAGTTTCCACAGCAAGGTACATGGTACTTCTGAGCATTTCATGCATCCTGAGCAGCTGAGGCCTGCCAGATACAAGGCAGGATTCCAGGCTGCATCCAACCTCAACATGCTGCTGTGCTCCCAAAGGCATCGCATGCTGTGTCCACTCCTGGCCTGTCCACATGTCTCTCTTGGGGCTTGTGAGGGACTGCCAGGAGACCCCTAGGTCTTTGAATTCTCCAAAAACACTGCTGAACAAGGCGTAGAGGCAGCCATCAAAATTCAACTTCTGGTTTCTCTCCCATCATCCAAGAAGAACCCAGTGATGGTACCTGGGAGTCTGTTAAGAACTGTTTTTTGTTTTTGTTTTTGTTTGGTTATGGTGACTAGTTGGCAACTATCAGTCTCCTGCGGGCCCTACCAAATGGGGTTTTTCACCAACCCCAAGGTCCATGGATCTTCTATCTAACAAATTATATTTTATGTTATTTTTTCAAGCTGGTTAGTGACAACTAAGAAGGTCCCTCTGCAATTGGAAACTGATGTCAGAGTGAGAAAATCCCCTGTTCGCTGGGAACTCCCATGTCACTCATTCTCTATCAATGATATTTATTCTCTCCTGTTGTTTTAGTCTTAAAAAATGGCTCCCCTGGTTGCAATGTTATGTTAAGCATATTACTCCAAAGTCAGTTCATATATTACAGCTCGTTACACTCCTGGGTATACATTTCTGAATAGCTCTCACTCTGCAGTTGCAGCCCCACATTAAATATGGGCTGCCACGGGCAGAGCCTGAGAGAGTTGTCTGTTCATTCCTGCCTCCTTGTTTTTCCTGGAAGTTTTCTTCCTCCTTTATTTCATACACTGTAGACAAGATACTCCCCTCAGTAGGAAAAGTCTACCTCGGCAAGGTGGAAGATAGTATCCTCTGGAGTTCTGGGTGGGAGGGGTGGGTATAGAAAGCGATGGTCATTTGGGACACTTGCTGGAGTAATTGTGGCCTCCTGTGCAGGCCAGTGATGGTGTGGAACGTGAGTGGCCACACTGATTGGGGGGCAGAGGGTGAGACCATCGACAAAATGAATCTGTCAAGACCATGGACAAAATGCCACCATCTTTCCTTCTGCAACGCTAATCTCAGAATGAGTCTTTGTCCTCTACAGCCATTGATTTTTGTCATTTTTGGCTAGCATGCTCTTAAGCATCTGTGTTAGAGTATCAAGAATAGAAAGTTTTAGAGATTTTACAGAATGTAAAATTTTAATCACTTCAGTAAAACCCCACAGTGATAGCCTATTTTTATTCGTTTGCTTCAGAACCCTAACACAAGCTTCTAATGAGCTACTAGCTTC